GCCATCAGGTGAAATCCATGTGTATAACCTGCGTTTATGTCTCTTAAAAAATGTATTTGCAACCCAGAGGTACGCGGTTCAAATCCACCAGATGCTCTGCTGGAGAAGGAGGGGGCAATCTCCTCCTGTACCAGTCAGATCTGATTTGACGGTACACGTAAAAACAATACAATAAAAAAAATAATAAATTATTTCATTGTTATACAATGCCCCCCCCACGTCCACTCCACTATGTAGCTTTCATTCTGAACTCTTGTCATGATAATAATACCTAATCATATATTTCTCCTAAACAGTTCTCTCCCTCATCTGTTTCAATGCAGTACACATTAATCATTCCCTCTTATTCCCCCTGCCCCAACTCCTATGTCAGACCCGCTTTACAACAGTGGCACTATGCAATATTTGTCCTTTAGTGACTAAGATATTTCACTCAACATAATGTCCTTCTTGTTTTTCAATGCAGCATAGTATTTCATTGTGTGAACGTATCAGAGCTTCTCTATCCATTTTTTGTTGATGGACACTTGGGTTGTTTTCAATTCTTTGCTATTGTGAACAAAACCACAGTAAACATGGGTGTGCATATATCTGCTTGGGTAGCAGTTCTGGTTTCTTTAAGGTATATTCCCAGTAGTGGAATTGCTGAGTCAAATGGTATTCCTATTTCCAACTTTTTGAGAAAGTGCCATACTGCCTTCCATAGTCGTTGCACCATTTTATATTACCACCAACAGTGAATAAAGGTTCCAGTTTCTCCACAACCTCACCAGCAGTTGCTGTTTGCTGTTCTGTTAAATTTTTATATTCTTACTGGGGTGAGGTGATATCTCATAGTTATTTTGATTTGCATCTCTCTTAGAGCTAAGGATTTTGAACAGTTTTTCATGTGCTTGTTTGCCATCTGAATGTCTTCTTTGGTGAAGTGTCTGTTCATATCCTGTGCCCATTTCTCAATTGGGTTATTTACCTTTATCTTGTCGTTGTGCTCAAGTATTTTATAGAGTTGAGAACCCAGAAATCAGCCCATCTCCCTATGGTCAACTGATTTTTGACAAGGAGATGGAATCATTTAAGTGGGGCAGCTACAGCCTTTTTAATAAATGGTGCTGGCAAAATTGGAAAACTCTCTGTAGAAAACTCAAGCAAGATCCACACCTCACTCCATAAACAATAACCAACTCGAAGTGGAGCAAGGACTTAGGACTAAACCCAAGGACTATAAACTTCATTAGAGAAAAGTTTGGAAGAACTCTAGAAGTCCTAATCCACAACATAAACCGTCTTCCAAGCATCCTGAAAAACCTACAGCAAGGAGAGGATAAAATAGATGAATGGGACTTTCTAAGAATCAAATCCCTAAGCACTTCCAAAAACTTCTCCAACAGGGTGAAAAGGGAAGCCACAGACTGGGAGCAAAAGTTTTTAATTTTCATGAAGACCAATTTAAAAACTTTTCATTTTATTGATTGTGGGTTTTTTTTATAAAGTCCAAGACCTCTTTTGTTAGCTAGTTTCCTATTTTTTCCCTGTTGTTTTTATAAAAATGTTATAGTTTCCATTTTATATTTAAATCTGTGACTCAGTTTGTGTTCATTTTAAAATGGCTATTAATTACATAAATTTTATTAATTAATTGTAATTAATTTTGTTATTGTTAGGTGCCATCGAGTTGAGTACGACTCATATTAACCCTAAGAACAAAAGATCTGAACCCTGTTCATCCTGTGCCCTCCTCATCTTTGATTTAGATTTAGCTAGGTTTTTGTTTGTTCTTTAGGATTTTTCTTTAGGTCCTTAAAGTACAAGCTTAGGTGATTGAGACTTTTCATCTTTGCATTGGGCTCCCAGGAATCAAGAGCTACCTCAGTGGCAGCTGATATTAGCACTGCTTCCACCATGTCCTGCAAATGTTGATATGTTGTATTTTCCATTTAATTATAGTTGTTTTACACATCCCTTGAGAGTTTCTCTTTGAGCTTTAAGGGGTTATTTAGAAGTTATTGTTTCATTTCCAAATGTTTGGAGAGTTTCCTATTATTTTTCCATTTGTATTTTCTGGTTAGATTTAATTTGGTCAGTGAATGCACTCTGTATTATTTCAACTATATTATATTTATCAAGGTTTCTTTTGTGGCTCAGAATATGGTGTGCTCTGATGATGTTATCTATTCTGCCATTTTGGGGTGGTAGAGTCTATAGAAATCTATTAGATCCTGCTAGTTGGTGGCATTATTGAGTTCCATATCCTTGCTGATTTTCAGTACAGTTGTTTTTCATTTATTGAGAAAAAGCTGTTGAATCCTCCAATTATAATTATAGATAGAGTTGTCCATTTAGTCTTTTAGTTAGATCAGTTTTCCCCTCATATACTTTGCAACTCTGTTATTTTGTGTCCATCTTTCTTCTGAAGTTTGGTTGGATTCAAACCTGCAGAGAGGCATGGACTTTGGGTTAGCAGTGCAACCTGTTACAGACTACACAACTTGAGAGCACACAGGAAACTAGAGGCTCAGTCAAAGAGAGGAAGACTTTCAATGAGACCATCACCACTGCAAAAATAGGCTTACTCACAGCAAAGATTGTTAAGAGGCTGCAGGACTGGGCAGTGTTTTGTTCTATTGTGTGTTGGGTCACTGTGAGCTGAAGCAGCCTCAATGGTACCAATAAAATAATAATAATAACTTAACAATTTTTATGTCTCCCCTTTTATAGTTTAATTCTTTAAAAATATTTCCTCTCCTGAACTCAAATTCTTATAAGCTCAGATTTAGTGAACCAGTTAAGACTGGAGAACTCTCAGAGACTATCATCCTGAGATAATCTTTAAGCCCTGAATGACAGCTATCCAGTGAGAGCACCTTTTAGCAAAACAGTAGATTAGCACATAGAGTAAAGGCTATCTTCTGTGAGTAAAATCACTTACTCTACTCATTGCTTCTAATCCATGCCCCCCAGGCCTGTCTTTAATTATTTTTGGTGAAACATTCTTCTACATCGTATAGCCCTGGCCTGTCCACTTGTTGTACAGAGAGGAAACTCGTGGTTGCTGTGAAGCTGAACACTGTGACACTGATGTGTCAAATGTGATGATGGTTACCCATGGTGGACGGTGTTTGGTGGAGCTTCCTGGTTAAAACAAGCGTGGAAGCAGAAGTGGCATCCACTTCCTTAATAGCTTGTCTCTGGAAACACTATGAACCTGGAGAAAGGACAAAAGTTATACAGATGTCCAGGACTTTCATTCATAGGGTCACTATGAGTCACCTATGACTTGATGGCACTTAACAACAACAGCACAACATACTTTAGAGGATTTAGGGGTTGCTGTGATGATGAATCTTGTGCCGTTGGGTTGTCAAATGCCATAACGGTTATCCATGCATGGGGGGACAGTGTTTGGTGGAGAGCTCAGTTTAAGACAGGTTTGGAAGCATCCACTTCCTAAACAACATGTCTCCAGAAATTCTATGAACTATGATATGTGTTGATAGTTATAGAAAGGCTTCAGGCCATTTGTTCATAGGGTTGCTATGAGTCATGCTCTACTTGAAGCAATCAACAACAACAACAGCAACATACTTTAGAGCACCAGACTATAATAATTTTGATTCAGTTGTCAAAAACATAGTTTGGAAAATTTTAGATGAGGTGAAAGCCTATTTCTAAAACAATGTTTTACCCAGTTTTTCTTCCTTCTTGATACAGTATTGTAATGTTTCCTTCTTTTACAATTTCTTTTCTGTTTAGAAAAAAATTGTTTTGTCATCACTTTGGGTGACAAAGTTATCTTAGGTTTTTCTTCATCTTTATTTCCCCCTCATCACTAAATGAATATTTCCTGCATATATAGGGTTCTAGGTTGACAAGATTTTTTTGTTCTGTATTTGAAAAGTCTTGTGGCACTTTCTTGTGGTCTCTATGACATCTTATCAGAAATTCTCTGGCATTCAAATTGCTTTCACCCATATAGCTGTCATTTTTCTCTGGCTCCTTGGAAGAGGTTTACTCTGTCTTCATTTTTCAGAAGTTTAATTATGATGTGGGTTTTTTTAAAATTATTACTAAATTTTATTAGTTTTAATGAACATTTACAGAGATTTTGGGTTTTCATTCATTCATTGTTGCACTGTTTTCTCTACCCTCCTCTCCAGTTCATTCTTCTTCCCCCCCAAATGTCTGTTTTAATTGTCCAATTGCCACAGTGCTTATCAAAGCCAGTTCTGATTAATCTCCTTTGTCAGTATGTCCTTTGCCATTCCCTATCACTCCTCCCTGAGAGAGACTTCACCCTGATTCATAAGGAAAAGGGGATGGCGTATTCTCTTAGCTACTTCCTGCTGAAAAGGGATGCTGTGGGTTTCAGGGTGAAGATCTTCTCTCACTACTCTAAAGGGCCCCTTTGGCAGTAGGAAACACATAGACTATTATGGAGATTGATTTTGGAATTTAGATGCACTGTTATCAATTGTGCTTAGCTGTACATGTTCATATCCTTGAAGATGTATCATGGACATGATGTGTTTTTTTACATATTTTAAAAAGTTTATTTTGCTTGAAGTTTGCTCAGCTTCTTGAAGCTGAAGACAAATCTTTGTCTCTTGCCAAAGAAAAGTTCAGCCATTATTTATTTGAGTACTTTTTTAGCCCCACTGTCTTTTTCCTCTCCTTCTGGAACACCTGTTACACAAATATTAGATCTTTTGTAATAGTTCTTGTGGTATGATGAAACACTTTTATATGGTCTTTCTTGCCATGGTCTTGTCATTCCTACAAAATGATTGGGTGAGATATGCAAATAAGGTTCTTGTGGGTCGCTATTAGTGTTGAACAGCAATTGCTAATGTTGTAAATAAAATGCAAAGTATCCTTTAAAGGTAGGATCATGTAGATCAGGTGTTTGGCATCTTAATAAGGGAATTGGTTGGTTTTGACATCCATTAGTCTTAAAAAAGAGCCAGTCCCAGAGTAGAGAATCTCATTACCATGAAGAAAGAAAAGCCAGGACTGGAGCATGTCCTTTGGACACAGAATTAATACACTGAGAACCTCCTATACTCAGGAGACAAACAAACAAACAAAATGTAACACCAGAGTCAGAAAAAGTTGACGAGAAGTAAGATAGCAAGAATTGGCAGCAGAGAAATGGTAGTTGGACAGTAAGGAGACCTGTGTAAGATGGATGTGGTAGGATTCCCAGTCTACTGAGTAAGGAAGCTACAGTGGGCATGCCAACCCGTGGAGCACAAGAGCTGAGTACATTTACACAGAAGCCTCCCTGGCAGAGTGAGGTGATTCTAGATACTAGTTGTCAGAGCTGAAGAGCTTACTCACACGTGCCAGGGCAAGGTAAAGGGCTAACAGAAGAGGACTGTACTGAGGGGCCAACAGGATGCTTGCACAGCTGATAGGAGCTGAGAGAACTATCTTGGACTGAAGAAGGGAGGTTTTGCCTCCCTGCTTCCTGATCCTAATCTTAAATTGTAGCCTATTGATAGCAATCCTGAGTTATAACCTGTTACTTCTCAAATAAACCCCATAATCATGGATGTTGTCTGCGTATTCTCTGTCGCCATTGCAATAAATTGTTGGACCCTGCAAGAAACAAAGAGTGCTCTGGAAGAGATAACTGGTGTCAGCATTGGTAAAAAGGTTGGAGAGAGGAAGACTGTCTGACTTCCCCCTCACAGGAAATTGCTTTGGGCTGATTCTGATAATTCTATCCACATTATAAACGCAAATTAAATAAGATAATGTCAATATACCATTTTTTAAAAAAAATATGGAATGCTTCATGTATTTGTGTCATCCTTGTGCAGAGGCCATGCTGATCTTATCTGTATCATTCTAATTTTAGTATATGTGTTGCTTAAGCAAGTACTCATTACACCATTTTTATAGTTCAAAACAAAAGTATTGTCCACTTTTTAAAAGAAAGTCAATTTTTTTCTGAGGTTTTGTTCAATGGTTTTCCCCACCTAGTCTCTGTTATTCAGACTGGGTGATTATTATGACTCAGGAAATTAATAGAAAAATTGCATTGGGAAAGTCAGAGACCACTCCAAAGTACTGAAAAGCATTGATATCAGTCTTGAGACTAAGGTGTGCCTGATCCAGGCCATAATCTTTGCAATTACTTGCTATGCATAAAGCTGGATAATGACTAGGGATGATAGAAGGAGAACTGATGCCTTTGAGCTGTGGTTCTGTACTGTCAGGAGAACAAACAGGTTCATCTTAGAGAGGGTGAGACCAGGCTGCTCCTTGGAGGCAAAGATTCTGAAGCTTTATCCAACACACTTTGGGTATGTTGCAAGGTGGGACCAGTCTTTGGAGAGGGACTTCATGCTTGGGAGGATGGAGGAGCAGTGCAAGGGAGGAATACCCTCAATGAGATGTAGGTGTGTCAGAGACAATAAGATTGGCACAGGCTAGAGCAGGGTTTAGGGCTTTTGTACATAGGGTTGGTATGAGTTGCAAGTGACTCAATGGCACATAACAACTTTCTAATTTATTCATTCTTTCCTTTGACTCTCTAGTCTGATGTTGAGCTCATTCACTAAACTTTGCATGTCAGTTATATTTTTTCTGTTTTAAATTTTCATTTACTTTTCTTTATATTATCTGGTGCTTTTCTAGGGCTTTCTATTTGTTGTTTTGTTTATTTCAAATGAGTTTCTCATTGCTCACTAAAACATTTTTGTCAGGACAGCTTTAAAATATTTGTCATATAATTCTAACATCTCTCTCTTCTTAGTTGCAGCACTATGGATCATTTTTATATGGCCTTTCTTGTTAGAGTCTTATAACCTTCTCCAAATATTTGGATGGGACTATCCAAAAAAATAAATCAAGTGTTTTGGTCCACAAATGAAACTGAACAGTTTGCTCACAATGCAAATAAGGTTCCTAACACCTTTGGAGTGGGGTCATG